TGCCACCCTCAGCCCTTACCTTTCCACCAATTCAATACACTGCCTCCACTTCCTTCCCCCAATTTAATATACTGCCTTTCCTCCCAATTTAATACACTGCCCACTTCCCCAATCAAAAATACTGCCTCCGCTTCCTCTCCCCAATTTAATACACAGTCCCCTTCCCACCAATACACTTCCCACAATACACTGGCCATCAATTTATTACACTGCCCCCACTTCCCCCAATTTTAAACTCTGCCTTCCCCCCAATTTTAAACACTGCCCTCCTCTTTCCCCCCAATTTAATATACTGCTCTCCCCATTCCCCCAATTAAATACATTGGCATCCTCCAATTAAATACACTGCCCTCCCCCTTATTCCCCCAATTCAATACACTGACCTCCCCCCAATTTAATACACTACCCTCCACCTCACTCCCCCCACTTTAATACATTGCTCTCCTCCTCCCCCTAATTTAATGCATGGCTCCCCTACCCCCAATTTAATACATTGCTTCACCCCCTCCCCAATGTAATACACAACCCCTTCCCTAACTGAATACATTGTACCCCCTACCCCAATTTAATACATTGCTCTTCCCCCATTTTAATACACTACCCCCTCCCCCCAATTTAATTAATTGCTCTTCCCTTTCCCCTTATTAAATACACTGCCCTCCCCTAATTCAATATAGTTTTACAATATCACTACCCTCCCCATCACTCCCCCAATTTAATGCACTGCCCCTCCCCCCAATTTAATACATTGCTCTTCCCCATTGCCCCAATTAAATGCACTGCCCTCCCCCAATTCAATACACTAAGCTCCCCCCTCACTCCCCCCAATTTAATACATTGCTCTCCCCCATTGCCCAATTAAATACACTGCCCTCCCCCCAATTCAATACATTCTCTCCCCCTTCCCCCAATTTACGCATGTGTTTGTAAGTCTTTGTATGACTGCGTCTATGTCTCTGTATAAATGTATGTTCATGTTTTTTTGTCTCTGTATGACTTTGTCTGTGTCCTTATGTCTCTGTATGTCTGTGTCTGTATGTTTCTCTATGACTATGTCTGCATTTGTATGACAGTGTACCTGTATTACTGTGTTTGATTGTGTACCTTTTTTGACTGTGTCTGTATATCTTTGTGTCTTTGTGCATGTATGTATTTTTGCCTGCAAATCTATGTCTATATAACTTAGGAGAAGAGACACACAAAGGGACCTGGAAGGGAGGGACACACAAAACGGACTGAGGGAAGAAAGAGCCACACAGAGGGCTTGTGGTTGAGAAGGAGAGAAATAAATGGGCTGGGGGAGAAAGAGGCACAGTAAGAGGCTGGGATAAGAAAGAGACACAAAGGGGCTGATGGTAAGAAAGAGACACACAAAGGGGTTGAGGAAAGGAAGATACACACAGAAGAGTTTTGGTGGAGAAGGAGACAAAGAAATGGGCTGGGGGGAGAAAGAGACACAGTAAGGGGCTGGGATAAAAAAGAGACACACAAAGGGAAGGAAGAGACACACAAGGGGGGGGGTTGTACAACATACTAAATGGGCAAAAGGGGGCCAAGGTAGTCAAAAGAGGGGATCTGAAACACTAAAGAGGCTAAGAAATTCAAAATGCGGTGCTACAAGACACACAGATGAAGACGCATTTTTTTTTCGCTGGAGGAGGGCGGGGGAGGGGGGGCAAAATGCATCTTCGCCTGTGTAGCTAAAAATCCTTGCACCTGCCCTGGCAGAAGCTCACTGTGAAAATTGATCACTAATTAGTATATGAATATATTATTATATATATTAATGCTTAACACTATGTACCTACAATACCAAATGGACAATAAAGGAAATAGTGGAAAAGGCTACAGGGTACTGAAACTAGCACGTGTTAGATAATGCCTAGATTCATTGTAACCATTCAATAGAGTCCCTTAGTGTACACAATTACCAAAACCTCAGGAGCAGGAAAATATAGGAAGTGCTAATTAACAATAAAAATACATAAAACCCAACACAATTTTCAGTGTATAACCTTTGTCATGGGCATCAAACTGTGGCATCTCTGAGGCTCGTATTTCAAAGGGCTCAGGCTTAATTAACCACGTGTATCTGAGCTATTATGGAATGAACATGTATACATCAGGGAGAGACCTTACCTGACCACCAATCAGGAAAATATATTTGACAAAGCATCCCATGGTAATTTTATAGCCACATCCGATAGAAGGAACAGACCGCCACTCATGAAGGGACTGGGGAGTTATTAATCTCGGCAGAATTATATATACTGTGTACTGTGTGGAAAGGTCCACTAATGGAAAAAACACAAGGCAGTCAGAAGCCAGTGATTTGCAGAAAATCATCATCAAATTTCTCATATGCCCAAGCCGCACACAAGGGAATGGTTGCTGTTTAGCATAAAATCATTAAAATCAGTTTAATGCTGAATGGAAGGACAATGCCAGTGGACTCGAGACTCTATAACCACTTCAATGAGATCAAGCTGTTATGGTGCCTACAGTGTCCATTAAAGCAATGAGTATGATTATTTATCATAATAAATTCTATGTTGCATTCTATAAGAAACTGCTAATTAAGCACTTATCCCTTCTCCTATGCCGTCATTTAAGCCATAAAGCTGGACCTATGTTATTGGCACCAGCCAAAGATGGTAACTCCTCCTTTATGATGGCAATATACTGGTATAATTGACACCATGTCAGCGTGAAAATAGAGTGAGGTCTGTTTATTTCCCAGCAACGTATAACTCACTTGTAGACGAATGCATGAAAGCAATGTTCATTTTGTTTGCTGAGTATTTTTGGGGGACATACAAATTAAAGTTCTGCTGTTTATGTAAGCAGTGCCTAGACCGCTATTCATTCCACAGCCCTCCTTGACCTCCGGATGCACTCATTCAATTTGCAACAATGGGGCGTAAAGAACCATTATTCGAGCTGTTATTTATTAGGATCTGGCCAAAGAACAAAGCTTTTTTTGTACTGTTTCTGATAAATGGAAATATGAATGTGCCAGAGAACAGGAAAAAAAAAAATATATCTGATCACGCATTAAACTGTAGCTGTCTCTTAAACTGAATATCCTCATCCAGTTAATTTTCTATGCATAGGACAGGGCTATTCAGGTGTTTATTTACTAAACACTATACTCAAGGGAATGAAACCAAATTGATAAACTTGAGCAAAAACAGCTAACTTGAAAAAGAGAGCTAATTTTACAATTCAGTTTTCATTCTTTCATATTAGAGAACAAATCGAGCCTCAAATCATTCATACGTGTCTCCAGCACTTGGCTACATAACATGGTTCTAACTGCTTCTTGTACCATATAGGAGACAAGAGTTCCTGGCTGGTTAATGTCAGTTATGTAATTAAGGATACAAAATTAAAGAGCAGTTTAATAGATGGCTCCCTTATTTGACATACTTACATATGGCAATTGCACATAAGGGTACCACATCAGAGAGCTATCTACAAAACAGCTGAAAGATCAAAATTAAGAAAAGGGCTTTTTCTGCACCCCAGTTCCTGTTTTTTTGAGTCATGTGGCCTGGTTATCATATTAGGTATATGGCTTTTTGGCTACCAGGCTTTAATGAAGGGCACTTATGACTTCTCTGGATAGAAGATGGGTGTGTATCAGGGTCCAACTGGTTTCTGCCATTTCTGAGTTAAAGGGACTGCCAGACATCTTATGATTGTGAAGGAAAGAGAGCATGATGCGTTTTTCATCTATTTCAAAAAGTTCCTTTACCAACCTCTGCATCTACGGTCTTCTATGTTGTCTGTTTCTGTGTGCTAATTCAAAAGAGCTAGGAAAGCACATCTGGAAACTCCAATCTGTCTTGAAATTTCCGCTTGGAAGAGACTTTGCTGATGCTGTGTAACTACCTCGTGTCTGGTTGCTGTGCTCAGTCTTACCATGATCTTTGACTTGTGTCATTAAAGTGTCTTCAAGAACCTCACCTTGTTATTCAGTTTCATTCCTCCTACACTGCTGTTTCACTAAATGATTGTGTTTTAACGCACATATTAAATTGATCATCATTAGCACTTGTTTGGTATAATTGATTAATCATGCACTTGACTATCTGCCTACAAAACCCTGACTTTGTGCAAGTGTACCTAGAAGAATTGATGCTGTCTTGAAGGCAAAGGGCGGCCACATCAAATATTCATATGATGTAGATTTTTCTTCTGTTCATTCGCCTTGGATTTTGTAATTTGATGAAAATAATAATAATAACAAAGCATTTAACCAGGAAAGGCACATTCAGATTACTCTGGTTTTCAAGTATATCCTGTTACCCTAGGCCAACATCCAGGGGTTGTGTTACTATTACCCAATTTAATGGTACTCATTTTATCTACCTCGGAAGAATGATGGGCTGAGTCAACGCTGCCAGGATTCAAACCTGCGACCCACAGGTTACAACAGATTCTACATTAGCCCAATGAGCTAACATTTCTGTCTTTGTAAGCATTCTTACTTTACGGCATTTTTTCACACCAGTCTTTAACTTTGCACAGTAGTGTACATGCTAATCTGTGAATGCATGTATGTGTGTTTTACAAGAAATACAAATGCCAGTGTTGGTGGAAGTGAATATATAGAAATATATATATTACCCAGTAATGCCCTCTGTATTTTGTCTGACAAACTTGCTGTTGTAAAACCTCACTTCATAACTGTAACCATGACAGAATATGCTATAAAAACACTACTACTTATAATAATGTAATTTTTTATATATGTAAACTTGTTAACAATTCTGTTACATTGCACATGGCTGTTGAACTTGCTAGTGTTTTATAATAAAAAAAAATGACATTTGACTGATTTAAAGATGATTGTGATTTTGTTGACAGGGACCTTCTTTGTCTACATGGTTTTCTATACTCTGTGTAAGGATGGAGTCATTATTCTCACATTACAAAGAAGTTATTCAAAATCTTTGAACCCTTCATATTGGATTTCTAGAAGCAAAAGTGTTACACGCGATATTTGTTTCTGGAACAAACAAACAAAACACAGAAAACAAGTTTTGGTTCTAAAGATTTATTAAAGCACTGACAGGCTGTCTGCACACTGTCTGGGAATTATAAAGCTTTTCTTGGGAATTTAAGATTTTTTTTTTAAAACAGTATTGTAGCACAAGATATTGCTATTACGATGTTTGTAAACTAGACTGTTGTAAACTCACTGTCTGTCCTTCAAAACGGACATGAATTCTCCTTTAGCTTTTGTCTATCTTGCGCTCCTGAATTAACTGTGAAAGGCACTTGAAAGCTGGTTCTCTTCAGTTTAAACACAAGGGACAGAATTATGTTGCTGGTAAAGGAACTATGCTCCGAGAAAGAAGGAATTTAGGTTTCATTCTAGGTCATCGTGGTGAGAAGTTTCATTAATAACCTGAAAAGAGAAAACAATTACTTTAGTGGGTAGTACAAAAATAAACTTAATTCACCTAAAATCATTGTACTTTCTGAAAAAATGCAGTAAATAGGAAATACAATCAGAAAAAAATATAGCATACTGAAATGCCTAAAATGTGCTTATTGTGAGGGAAACAAGGGGAAATCTTTCCAACGTTGCAATAAGTCTAAATTCTTTGTATTTTTGACTAATACAAACGTAAATGCGGCCCGCAGTAAAGATATTGTTTGTTGTTGCCTAGTGAGGTACCAGGAGTTGAAAAGAATGGGATTGTCTATTGGGGAAGAACATTAAGCTCTGGTCCTTGTCTTAAATCTCTGGACTCCAAAATATCAATGTATCATCACATGTAAACTTTTTTTGCAGATAATGCAAAGCCTTTTAAAATATTCAGTCCTCCTTAAAGTAGAAAAAAATATATATTTTCAAATGTCAACCAAAAAGAAGTGAAAATCTACCAACCTGGCCATCTCTGGTCTCCACCGTCTTGATCAGAAGTGTTCTTTTAGAATGAGAGTCTACCACTGGATGAGAATCCAGATTAGATTCTAGAGAAGGAAAGAGATGTCCATGTTATAGACAATGTAGCAAAAGTTCAAGGGATTTAATTAATCTACAAAATGCAAGAAGAAATACCTAAAAGCCAAACACAGATATTCCACATATGGGATTGGGATGTGAAAGACACATGCTATATTAATGAACTTGACTAGTATTACTTTATCAGTTTGTTATTTCTGATATCTTAAAATGGGTTAGGGCAATGTTCCAGGGACCCCCATCCCATTGATATTCCAGTATGGTTAAGGCACTTCTCTGATACTGAGTAAATAGTTAATAGAGAATTAAAAAATATTACTTATTCACCTCTTATGCTCATGGTAGAAAAGGATGAATGAACGGGAATGGCAATTCTGCAAAACAAAACATTTTTATGAGCTACAAACAAAATATTAACTATGTCTTATGCAATCATGTAATACTTACAGCCTTTGGTGCTTATTTACTAAACAGAGAATCGTGGATAACTGACAAGTTCAAGATTGCAGGTTTTAGGCCAAAATAGACAAATTGGAGATATGCCCCCTGTGACAAAGTGCCCTTCGCCACTTGTGCCTGCAGGAGACTACTGGCTAGCCTCCTGCCTTCCAACTATGGCCCCTGTGCTGATAGCTGTATTTTACCCTGCAGAAATATTTATTTGTGTATTTCTGCTGGGGCGTTCAGGACTTTCAGTATGTGACTAGTGCTACCCCAGATAGCTATGCCATGGAGCCTTTTCGTGTAATGAAAGACTATGGAAAAGACTTTGGCTCCATGGCGATTTAACTGTATGTATGTGATCTGAGCACCATTCGGTAATCATGTGCACTCAGATCTAAGCTATCTGGGGATATGTTGCATGTATGTTTTATGTAGTAATTGTAACATTGTGTAATTTTATGTCTTTTTGTAACCATGTGGTTAATGGAGTCTTGCCTCTGTCCTGGGAGATAATTTGATTACTTCCCAATTATCTCCAGGATAGAGAGGAGGGATTGTGATGTCACTGTGGGAGTGTGTTGTTTGTATTGTCTGTGATTGGCTAATATCCAATATGAGTCCCATTGTTCCATCAGGTCCCCTAGGGGAGTGTCCACCTGGTGGACACTTGCATAAATACTGGGCAGGTAGCCCTCAATAAATCAGAACTACTTGACCCTTTCTTGAAGCCTTGGCCCATGCTTGGGGGGGTGGGATAACTACACCCTTGGGGATTGCTATATCACACTCCCCTGAGTATAAGCTCTTGTAAGAGCTTGTTCCTGCCCTCTGGATAAAGGAGAGGTCTACCCACTGGAAGCTGGATCCTGGCTTTGGGTCCAGGGTGGGTGAAAGACGGCGAGACCCAGGTGCAGCTGCATCGCTGGAAGTGGGGTCTGCAGTGATTATGGTGTCGGTTGGAGTGCTTGGAGTCCTCAGCGAGCACTAGGAGCATCGATTGGCGGAGGTACTCGGTCGGAGTGCCAGCGGTCCATTACACCCCCATTCAGCCAATTTTGTGGGTTGACTAATTTGTCCTAAAAATCTGTAATTCTATCAATTTTCCACTATTTCTGTTGCAGTGAATAAACCTTATATTGTTTTAGTTTATTTTGTTAATTGCATTTAAAAAGGCCAAAGCTGCCACATTCAATCAGTCCTAGTTTTTATTATGGATTTTTCACTAGAACACGAGAGTTTCTTTTAACTTACCTGCTCTCTTCTCCTTCAAGCAGCTTCCTGTAAGTAGTAATCTCAATATCAAGAGCCATCTTAACATTGAGCAGGTCCTGGTACTCGCGCACGTGGCGAGCCATGTCTTCTTTCATGGTCTGGAGCTCCTCCTGCAGGCGATTAATAGTGTCTTGGTAGTTAGCTGCTTCCAAAGCAAAGTTGTCTTCCATTTCACGCATCTGTCGTTCATAAGATTCATTCTGCAAAGAAAAACGGCAACATGCTATCAGTTCTGCCTAACATCCTGAGCCATTTCTCCTACACAGAAGAATACACAGAAGAGCAATGACTTACATCTTGAATGTCGCTCATACTAAATAAATTAAATATGTTGTCAGTAGACAGAGTGTATAAAATTGAGAACAAGACAAGTGTGTAGTTCTACGTTGTTGTGGAAATGAAATATTGACATATTTTTAGCTAGTAAAATGTCTATTTACTCCATTTAGTTATACTCAATAAATTACTAAACTGACCACTAGATGCCACTCAGGAGTACCCCACCCATCGACCAAACACTCTAATTTTCAAGATGGCGCTGGAATCCGGGGGAGAACTTCATGACGACAGTAATGACATAAGAAGGCACACCCAATAGGACGTGCTTTGAATAAAACACTTAACCAATTATTGATGTATTATTCCATGTTATCTCTGACAATGCTTATGATGTAATTTTGCTTTAAAAGGGACCTGCCGTCCCCTCTGAATAAACTTTCCTCAAGTTATTCAACAACCTGGAACCTGTGTCTGGTGTGAATTACTTCAGGGAGCGTGCACGCATTGTTTCATTAATTTGGCCAGGGGCAGATACACAAAGAAATAATCAATTTATTGATTGATTTTTCCATTTCATACGTGCTTGGTAATGAAAACAGATTATTTGGTAATTAGCTGCTGAAAACACTCAGTGGATATCCCAATTCCACTATATACAAAGTTACCCAAACAAACTCTATGTCTAGGTGATGTACCCCACCTCCTAAACACACAAGTGCTAGTGCAGCGCTATTTAAATGTTACTTACCCCTTTTTTCTTGTATGGGCTATATAGATATATGCAAAAAAAAATTACTGGGTTTTTATTTATTTAAAGGTGCACTATAGTGTCAGGAACACAAACATGTACTCCTGACACTATAGTTCTACAATCACTGTTTTAGAACTATAGGCCCCCCTTTTAGAAAGGTTTTTACTCACCTTTTTCAATCGCAGAGCAGGGTTCCTTGTGTATGGCTCTTCCTCTGATCCACCTCCTTCACTGACATCATCAAAATTAACTCTCTCCCATAAGAAAGTCTTGGATTGGCTGAGATTGAAAATTCTGATGATCTCAGCCAAGGAGGCTGGGCAGGGACAAAGCCAAATGCCACCCTGGCCAATCAGCATCTTCTCATAGAGATGCATTAAATCAGTGGATCTCTATGGGAAGCGTTCAGCATGTGCAGCACTGACCCAGGAAGCACCTCTAGTGGCCGTCTGAGGAGTGGCCACTAGAGGTGTTCCTAGGTGTTTTCTCTGAAAAGACAGTGTTTACAGCAAAAACCTTGCAGGGACTCACTATACTCACCAGAATAACTACATTATATTGTAATTGTTCAGGTGACTATACTGACCCTTTAAAAAATATATATATATATATTGGTGGAGGTGGTAAGAGTAATACAATTCATCAGTTGGTATCTACCCCATTAAGACCTTATGCAAAAACCCAGCATATCTTGCCCAATTTTTTGAGAGGAATTAATACAGTTTTACTCACTGATCCTTTCATTGCATCAACTTCGCAGGTAAGAGACTGGATTTGTCTGCGGTAATCATTTGTCTCCTGTTTAGCTTGACGCAAAGCTTCATTGTTTCGGTTAGCAGCCTCAGAAAGGTCGGCAAACTGCGAAGACAGAAACAATTATTTTTAGACACTGAATTAATTGTTACTTTTAAAGGAAAATAGGTTTTGCAGTCATGTTACAGACACGTGGCACGACAGGTTTTTTTTTTTCTTCAGGTTTACAGCTGCATTAGAGATTTAAATAATCTACATATAGGTTTAATACACAGTCACAGTAAATGCAAGGAACCATGGAACAGACTCCAATCACATACCTTAGACTTGTACCATTCCTCAGCATCCTGTAGATTCTTAGCAGCCACATTCTCATACTGCTGACGCACGTCACGCAGGGCAGCAGTGAGATCTGGTTTAGCAACATCCATGTCAATCTGGACATGTTGATCCTGAAGCTGGAGCTGCAGTTCACGGATTTCCTAGATACAAAATTAAATAATTCAGCATACAATGTTTTTTTCTGTCATTTAAGAAAATACAAATTGGGGGAGAGAAATTCTGAAAATTGCACTGTGAAAGTTGACGCAACGTACACAAATCAAGCCACAGACATGAATGAGATAGGTAGACAAAGACACACAGAGAAAAAAAGAGGGACAGACAGAGAAATAAAATGAGTGTTTGTTTGAGTGTGTGTGCAGGTCCTTACTTCATCATGCAGTTTCTTTAGGAATACAATCTCCTCTTGCAGGGATTCAACTTTGCGTTCCAGGTCAATACGTGCTAAGGAAGCATTGTCCACATCCTGATTATGAAAAAAAATTAGCTGTCAGTATTTGTAGCAAGTGTTTTGTATAGTTTATATGACAGAGCAACATCTTCCTACAGTGTTCTGTTTCTTTTCTTTTCTTAGTGTTTTAACAAAAAAAAAAAAAAAAAAGAAACGAAACGAAAAAGGACAAGCCATCCCCCAATAAAACTAATAATGAGGACCCCAAAACTTGCATTGGAACATAGAAAATTAAAGACAAATTATTTTAGACACTTTCAACATTTAAAGAGAGACTATTGATAGTAAAGAGAGAGAATCCTATCAGCTAACTTAAATCCTCATATTTCAAATGGCACTACAACATTATCTTACATAGATAAACATATAAACATATTTACTACAATTAAAAAAGTTCTGTAGAAACACTAACATAGTTGAACAGGATATAAATTAGTAAAAAATGGATTGTCTACTCAACATGCATAAGAGACTTTGGAGAACAAATGAAATGTCTATGGGACATTGTGTTGGAAGGGTGGATACATTTGAATCCAATGCTCTAATTTCAGAAGCACAACTGTATGGTTATAAAACTAAAATGGTATAAAAATGATCACTACATTTTAATTTTTTTAATTTTTTTATTTGTGCGATGGCATACATATAACACAATAACATAGCCATTTAGGTTAGGGGGAAAAAAAGACTGGGCTCTTTTCACAAGTTCCTGTTGCTGTTGCTGATCCGAAAGAAGAACAAAGAGCCAATCTGAAGTATTCATATTGTTACCTACTGAATACATCTATCATTCACTCTACAGCTATACCCACATCTCTTTACATATGAAAGAAGTGATTAAGAAGCTATGTGAGCAAGGAATGGTTTAGGTTAGGATATTGCATCTCTCAACAGTTATTAGGCATATAGGCTGTAAATCAAACTACTTCTTAAATAAGGAACATGAGTTTTTATCTGTATGTGTGAATGTTTTTTTGTAAAAAAAAACAAAACAGAAAATAAAAGTGTTTTTTTTTGCTTTTTTGTTATGTTTATTACAATTATGTTTGTGGACTACATTTCACTATTCCTTAGGTAGGCTTTAGGTCTATTGACATTATTATGATTATCATCATTTTATTATTTATATAGCACTAGCAAGTTCCGTAGCGCTGTACAATGGGGTGTTTACCATTCAGGAAATGTAGTCCACGTATGTGGTGTAAGCAGTGTTAGGCTGGATAGTTTTAACCATTGAATATCATGGAGTTAAGAAAATCTTCTTTTTTTTAGAACATGTCTATAGCATATCATTAACAAAATAGAAGAAAGGTACAGGCACTCACAAGGTACAAACCAGGCAATAATATTGAGCCCACTCCATCACACGGAGAGGAGGTTCAATAAAGTTGATGAATGGGATGATATGATGGAGTGGGTTCAAAAAAATTGCCTGGTTTGTACCTTGGAGTGCCTGGACTGTTCTTCTATTTTGTTACTCAGCATTTGATGTCTGGTACTGAGACCGTCAGAGTTGCACCCAGCTACATAATACTTAAAGGGACAGAGTGCAGTTCCACACCCTACCATAACTATAGCATATCATTAGTCATTACTGGGTTATCATCTTTTTCATATGTACTTTTAATTAAAACATAACATATTTTTTTACTTAACATATATTCTTCTATTTCCGCTTTAAACTAATCTAGAAGATTGGGTGAAGGGGTTAAAAGACTGTTTTTATTAAGGGTGAGACCAATGACCACTTTGCTTATCTCTCGATTGCACAACTTTTCCTTTTAATATGTTTCATCTAATTGGCTATCCTGGATGCTAAATATCCTCTGACAACTTATGCAACACATGATTGCTCCTCCCCGCACCATGACTAGCAGTTAGCCAGAGACTAGAATATTGCAGTCGTGCAATGATTGTGATAAAATACCACAACTGTGTTATTACCCTGGATAGAAAAAAAATTGCAAAACTGTGAAAGTCATCAACTTCTGAAACAGAACCTAACCGTTCAATGAAAAATTGTATCAACATTTTTTATTTTTTATTTATTTCAGTAAAAGTTTTCCCTCTAACCGCAGTAAAAGCAATAACACAACAATACTGTTAGCTACAAATGCACTTGGGACACAATGAAAGCTATTATTTCTACTGCAGTTGCTGATATAATTCATGCATTGGCATTCCACAGTGGAGCCGTGAGAAACCACTAAGGCTGGTCAGCAAAGGAAACAGATGTCCCTATTTTAACATCACTATTCTCACGGACTTTTGTGTTCTACTCCCTGGTCTGATTCCCATTTGAATGGAATGGTAACGAAAAGAAAAGTGTGAGCCTGTGAACTTTTAGAATGATCTCACCAAAAATGTTTTCATTGTGTTCATGTAGGGTACTCCCATAAGTTATATTTTTTTTAAAAGAAAATAAAATTAACTATCCTGGTCAGACAACTCTCTAACACAACTGTTGTCATTAAAAAAGCTTTCAGGGGTCTTCACGAAACTGTGTATTGTTGAGAATTCCAAGTGAATATTAAAATAGCTTTAAAAAAAAGTAGCTGGGGGGAAAACTTTCCACTACAATCCTCACTTCATGCAGTTTCAGGCAGCACAGTGATTAGAAAAGTAAAATGCTTCTCCGTATGGAAAAAAATAATATGAGCTGCCAATAATAGGATTTGCAAAAATTATATGATTTGCCAATCAGCTACGTGGTCTGTTATTTTGGAAACTATCAAATTTAAATATTTTTTCTCCAAATTGTTCTTGAAAAATTGTGCAAATGAGCATGTATGTGTATATACAGCTGATATGACTCAATGATGCTGTAACTTTGTTATTAAATTTATAGAATGAATGTTAATTATTTACATATAGGGCAAGGTCAGCATCGGAAATATCTGTTTAGGATGCACTATATTCTGGTGATTAAACTGATGTTTAAGCATATACCAATCAATGAGAAAAACATTTAACATGATTTGGAGGGTTTTCTTTTCTATGTTCTGTGCTTGTTGTACTCTGTTGTTGATACTTGTGCTACTTTGTTAGTCAGTCAGTGGGTCAGGCAATGACTGATGCATGCGCTCACATACAAAAAACTCGAAAACTTACTGAGCACTTACACCCTTTGCATGTGCATTGCACTATATGAAGTATGCATGAACAGGGAGGAGACCTTGCAAACAATAGAAATGTAATTCAGATATCTTCAACTTGAACGTGTGTCATTTCTTGCCTTGTGCACAAAGTGACCGATAGGGGGAAGCACTGCAGACAGCAGGAGGCTTCAAGGAGGAGGTTACATAGTTTGCAAACATCCACTAAAGTTTTACTGACTCTTCAATGGTTCACGCTAGTGTAAAGACTCCAAAAATCAGTTCCATTAACAGATTATGATTTAATAGAGGATTTGACGGGGGTAAAATATTTACTGCAGTGAGGTTGATTACAGCCCCATATTTAAGATTGCGTTAGGAAACATTACCTAATATTTATTCTAAAATGCTTTCCTAAAATGAATGAAAAGTGACTAAGAATGGTCATGAACCACATAATGAGTAAAGAATAAAGACTATTTTCCAAGTGGTTTATCTTATTTCAGCAAAATGGACCATGGGCTATGTCACTTCCTCAACATCTAGTATGTCCATTCCATTGGGTTTTTAATAATAAAATTTGGGCCTGAGAATTGTTTCCCCATGGATATTGTTTTGAGCAGTAAAATATCTTGATGATTCAGAACAGTTTAGACATTCTTTTGAATGGGAAGAAAAACACTACAAAGTATGCTCACAAATGTATTAATGCACTAATAAGTTGTGTTGGATTTACCACCAATATGTTTCACGATATTTCTCCAACTGTATGTTTGCACATAAACCACATCTCACAGCTTTTTCATTAAGCTTTCAAAACTTCCTGTCCTAATGTGTTTTACACCCCACCTCCTATAGACTGTAAGCTCGTTTGAGCAGGGTCCTCTTCAACCTATTGTTCCCGTAAGTTTTTTGTAATTGTCCTATTTATAGTTAAATTCCCCCTCTCATAATATTGTAAAGCGCTACGGAATCTGTCGGCGCTATATAAATGGCAATAATAATAATAATAATAAAGACTACACTAACTAGACTTCAAGACTAACACTAACAGGAACTTTAAAAAGAAGGTTAAGTCAGGTCTCTGCCACCTATGTAGAATACTAAATCAAATTAACTATTTTAATCTAATACAATCACACATGTGATTTGGATTTCTAGATTGGCTTCTGTCCATTCAATTTCGCAATAATTTTAGTACGTTCTGTTGACCACTATGTGGCGTTAACAACCAAGTAGGCCTTAACATTGTAGCTGGGAGGAAAGGGGGTGTCAGAAAGCATTTCCTGAGCTAATATTTCATTTCGAAAACCACAAACCTGTCTGAATGACTGCAAGTTGCTTTCGGCTTCTTCCCTCTGAATCATTTCATCCTGGAGCCTGAAAAATATCAATTAAGTTTGCAAATTAATATCCTTTCAATCCTTAACATTTTAATTGTCAGAAGGGTACAGAATTATTTGTTTTGTATAGACATCTGGCACTTAAAGTGTTAACCACAAAAAATGTATCACAGCACTAACAATGGCGATGATAACCTGATATTTTTATAATTATACCTTACCCTCATGCCACACTGCCCTAACATGCGAGTACCTGGAGGAAAAGGTGGTATTTTATACTAATGAAATGATCAGTAATGTCAGTGATCATCCTTAAAGCTAAATTCTGTGTGTTCAAATGAAAATACAACTTCATGTGCATCCATTGTGTCTGTGTGTCTTACAAATGGAATACATAATAGAGAAGGTGAGAAAGTTCATGAAACAAAGGCAGTTACTATGCTGCTATTGGAACAATAAGTTTCTTCAAAATTAAAAAAAAAAAAAAAAATTAAATGTACATGTTTTATCAGGAATATAAAATGCATTCTAACTTTTAGGCCAAAGTAGCCAAACTTTAACCATTGCTTACTGTGGGAATTTTTGCTTTCTATATTGGTTTAAAATTTGAAATCACACTTCATTGAGTAACCCTAACAACTGCATCAAATGTCACCGTGAAAACTAGTTAATAAAAAAAAAAGAAACTTTATCATGTACATATTAAATGATGTTTAAAAATTTTCCACAGTGAGAAATTACAGAGTTGACTGGAATTTCAAGTTCAAACTTTTTTTTTTTTTTTTATTCATTAACATTTTGAAATATCTTTGAGAATAAATAAATCATAAATAAGTTCAGCTGTAGATATATTACTTCAAGGATAATGTTCCTTGGTTCTTGAAAAGGATTCCCCCGTTTTCGTTCTTTAAACATGTATTTAATGGTTCATTCTAGAATGTTGAGGTAACACTGAGGAATAATCTTTAGCAGACTCCAGAAAATCTGGAAATGATGTATTGTATTAAAACCCTGCCTTAAAATGGTGGACATCCAGTTTCAATGGAACTGCCACACCCCATTCAGAAATGGAGTCAGATACCAAAATTTCCCGAGCAAGCCAGGAAACTTGCCCATGGCATAGACATGTGTCTGTCTGCCCTCCCTGTAATGTTCCCCTCTCTGCCCTTATATTTTCTTGCATGGATGGAGTTTTTCAAACTTTCTGCTAGTCCAGCAATATGTGCATTATGGGATAAGCTGTCCCAGAACAATGACCCTAATGTACAGCAATAGAATGATCTAACTATTTTGTATAATATTTAGGCAACAAAGTTACATCATCATTAGTGAGATTTAGAGCAAGTTTTCTTGTTTGTGGTTTGAGTTTAGCAAGAATACTCTCAAAAGATGGGTCCTCCTTCAATATTTCTAAAAAAGAAATTGCATGTAGCACACAAAGTTAACCATTTCATTGTTACTTTCAGCAGTGTAGCAAGATGAGAAGGAAACTCTCAAATACCTTCCCCCTCCCAACCACCCCTCCCCCCCAAAAAAGAATAATTGCTAGAAGATAGCAAGGTCCAAGTCTTTCAATGTGACTTTACCATAAAGACCACTGAAAAACTGGACAACAAGCTGTTAGGGATATATTGAGGGATCTAGGTGTTCTCCTGAACTTTGATTTTCAGAAATTATGGAATGATGTGATAATAAAGTTCTAAAATAGTTCTTACTTTTCTCTTAGTCGCTGAAGATCATCTCCCAGGTTGTCTCTGTCCACCTCCACCCTGGCTTTCTCATTTGTGAGCAGGTCCACCTGTCGGCGGAGCTCTCTCATCTCCTCTTCATAGATGTCTCCAACCCTGGAGGTCCCCTTTCCTTTCAGTTGGTCCAACTCAGCAACCAGGATCTTGTTCTGCTGCTCCAGGAATCGAACTTTGTCAATGAAGTTGGCAAACCTGTCGTTCAGCTCCTGCATCTCAGCCTTCTCGTTGGTCCTGTTGGCTTTAAACTCGAGGTTGATGGCATCTGCAAGGGAGAAGTCCACGCTGTCATGGAGCCTGGCTGGTGGAAGGCTGCTCCTCAGCCTCACAGAGGAGGACTTGTAGATGGAGGGTGATGAAGAAGTTGTGTAGACCCTGCTACTGCTGATACCTCCACCACCAGCTCCAGAACGCAGAGAGCCTCCCATGGAGCTACCCAGGGAGTACCTACTGCTGGAGGTCACATACCGGTTTCCAGACGAGGAGCTGGACCTGGGGTTACCTCCAAACATTCTTTTGTATGAGGATCTGCTGGCGGAGGTGGACATGGTGATGGGTTCTGGTTTAAGGCTCTTTGTAAATCCTGCGATACTGGAGATGAAGCCCAGACAGTGCTGTAGCAGGAGTGAGAGCTGGCACCAGCAGGGCTATTTATACTGAACATAACGGGACCCACAGCCTGAATGACATTGGGAAAACCAGTAGACATGCCCCCAGAGGCACTTCAGTGCATCCCTAGACCAATAGGAGAGAAGGGAAGGGTAGTCAGGGCTGGACTAGAAGGAGTTCTCAACTTCAGAAAAGCATCTGACCAAACTGTCCTTTATTCTGCCAGAAATCCTTTCTTTTTTCTTTTTTTTTTTCTTTTCTTTTTCGTTTCTTTTTCGAGAAGAAGTGCAGTTTGTATCACAGACTAAGAACTCGCTATTGTGCTGCTAGGAGTATTGCAGAATGTAGCAACTGAAACATTGTAACTTCTGAACTAATGCTAACCAGTTAACCCATGACATTCTGACTGCTCTGCTTTGAATCTGTCTGGATGAGCATAATGAGAGCTTACCAAATTATTTTATTTTACAGGGGGTCACTGGAGAGATCCCTGAAATACAGCCCCATAGGGATGGCAAAGCTTCATAGGAGTTGTAATTGTACAGCAGATGGGGATCTACTTTGTGTCCATTGGGATATGTGCAAAACTATAATATTTCCTGACATGCAGCTTCTAAACCAGTGAGAACTAGTTAACCCATTGCAATCCAGCATTATCTGTTTACTGCAGCTGACTGAGCATCATGAGAGCAGTATTCCTTAACAGCTTGAAATCCATTACTGATCTAATGAAGCTCTTTATCAGGATTGGCCAGAAGGTAGAACCCCCAACTTTTCTAAAACTACAACTCCCCTGGTACTTTGCCAATTATACGGTTGGAAAAGCTTAATGCGATTTGAGTTCTACAACAGCTGGGAGGAGATCTTTGTCCATCACTGCTTCGAATAATTTGGAAACTTCTAAGGAAAGTTGCATTTAACTTTGGAGACTATGTATTTTGTCTCCTTTACTCTGTGTTAGCTATACAGAAGTTTAAATATATATTGTAGCACAGTAGAGTGTAACAGAGCAGAGTGTAGGACAGTAGTGACTAACTATTTGAACCTCCCCACCCCAGCTGCAGAATGATGTGTGTCACTGATATCCATGGTGACAAAGAAATAACACAGGGTACGATTTCCGCTCAGAATTCTAAGACTCCAACAGTTTTTTTTATACAGTTATTTGGGCGTTGGCTTTCTCATACTGAGAGTAATTGCATCAATTCTGCTACAAATGATGTTTTAGAGCCCACACTCAGTCCCAGGGCTGCATCAGTCACTCTGGAGACTTTGCAGCATGGGATGGGGCCACTGCGCTTTGGCAGCTGAGGCAAACTATTGGTATTATTGGGATTAGCAGTCCACACAGCAAACAAAGAGTCAAAAATGTCCAACCCCTGGTCTAGACCAAGGACAAGGCGGTCCCTTTTTGGGGGGAGTGGGAGGAGGGGTGCTCTGCTTGGATGAGAGATAGATAGAGAAAGAAATAAAATAAAGAGAGAGAGTGTGTGTGTGTCTTCATTGCTAGAAGCCTTGTACTGAAATAAGACTTGGGTTTTACTTCGAAAAACCACAGGCAGCAGGAAATCAAAGAACAGATATGCAAAACCTCTGGGCATATTTCTTTCATTATACAAAAAGAAATAAGTAAGACCTGAGGAGGATTGGTTTTTTTGTGCGTGTCACGGGGCTCAATGGTTGAAGTGATTTGACTCCCAGCTAATCTCCCTGGGGATGGAATGCTCTGTGGCTGGACCATGTGCTGGGACTCTGCTCTTTGTGTTGTGGGCATCCCTTCTGCTGGGAGACATTTCCTTCCTGATCTCAGGGCGGGAATTAGTGGGAGAATTTCCAAAAACCCACACAGCCCTCTGAAAACTGTGTCCAAAGGTTCTGTGGATTGTCATTCTCTCTTATAATTATCCACAGACACGGTCTAGAAGTTACCATGACTAATAAACAGCATTGGACTGATTCTTTTTTTTCTTTCATTCTTTTTTTTTTCACTTATTGAAAAAAGCCCACATTTTGTTGAAACAGTTCATCTGTCCATCAGGCAAAATATACCTAACCTAAAATGGATCCATGGAAATGGTATATTAGACAAGGAAGCATATCATTTATTGAGCAAGACTATCTAGGACAGAGAGTTCCACTAGAAGTGCTCCTTTTAAGTACATTTTTAGTATGAATGATCTGGCACTGAAACAGTTACAATGTTTAACAATCAAATATGCAGATAGAGGTGTGTGGTAGCTATGATAATTAATTTCCTAATGGTGCCTTGCTTGCCACTTGTGGTGAAGTGTGTGCTTTCTTTAATTTTCACACTGCAACATATATCAGACATCCCAACATGCAAAAACTAATTTCAGGGAGTTTGCCACCTCATTTCAGTGAGGTGGATTCACCAGTTACTGCACCACCCACAGCTACCAAACATGTCTGTGGAGAACAGGGTTTTATTTTTTATTTGGCTACTGTCATGGCGCTAGCTTAACCTCTCCAGAACCCGGTGTCTACCTGGAGTGACATACGCTATGGGAGATCCAAACCTACCTCCTGGGAGGCACCAAGTAGTAGGGTGATAGGGGCTGTACGTTACGAGTTAGGGGCTGCACTGGGGGTTATGAGCTGTAATTGGGGGGCTAGGAAATGTATTGAGGGATAAGGGCTGTAGTAGGGGGTTAAGGGCTGAAGCAGATGGATGGCTGTTATGGGGAAAGGGGCTGTGGTATGGGAGATATGGGCTGCAGTTGGAGTAGATGGGCAGTAGTGGGGAGGATATGGGACTGTAGTCGGGGAATGGGGTGTAAAGGGGGATTAGGAACTGTAGTAGGGGAAAAGGGCTTAAAGTGGGGGAATAGGAACTGTAGTGGAAGGGATAGGGGCTGTAGTAGGGGCGTTAGTAGCATCCTTCATTCCATGCTTCCCTCCCCCATTCCCCCATGTCTCCCTCACCCTTTCATCCATGTTTCTCCCCCATGTCAGCCTCCCCCTTTCCATCCATGTCTCCCTCCCCCTTCCATCTATGTGTCTCAGCCCCATGCCTCTCTCCCCTTTCTATTCATGTCTATCTCTTCCTCCCTTCTATCCATGTCTCCCTCCCCCTTCTATCCATGTATGTTCCCCTATTCTATCCATGTCTCTCTCCCCCTTCTATCCATGTTTGTCCCCCCATTCTATCCATGTCTCTCCCTGATGTCTCTCTCCCCTCCTTCTATCCATGTCTCCCTCGTTCTATCCTTGTCTCTCTCCCCCTTTCTTCTAGCCATGTCTCTCCCCCCATGCCTCCCTCCACCCCATTCTGTCAATATCTCTGCCCCATGTATCCCTACCCCCTTTTATCCATGTCTCTCCTCAATGTCTCCCTCCCCCTTCTATCCATGTCTGTTCCCCTATTCTATCCATGTCTCTCTTCCCCTTCTATCCATGTTTGTCCCCCCATTCTATCCATGTCTCTCCCCCATGTCTCTCTCCCCCTTCTATCATTGTCTCTCTCCCCCTTTCTTCTATCCATGTCGGCGCCCTAGGTGAAGGTAGCTCTGTACACACACAGATAGGAACGCCCCCCCAACTCTTTTACCTGTCATGGCAGAATGTGCTCCACGCAGGTTTTGTGCGTGCGGTTCCCTTGTGGAGCCACACTGTAATATCTCGGACACCGGTAATTTATTTTTTGAGGGTTTCATTTAACTCTCTCTCGCTCTCAAAAAAATATATATAAATTACCGGGATATTACATAGAATCCGCGCACGTCTGGGAGCCGCAGTTACAATACGGGAGACTCTAAGAACCCCCAAGAGAGTTGAAAAGTCTGATATTTTATCAAACATTATTTTCTGAAATTTAAATTCTGTTAGCTTCTGACACTGCTTTTTTTTCAGGTAAAAGTGAGATTTACTTACTTGAACCTGTCCCTTATTGGCACGGTCATCTTGTTCTAGTGGGTCCTCTTTAGAGCTTGTTGCTTTAGCGTCAGGAGCCGATGTCACTGATGAACACCAGCACATGCCCAAGAGTACAGAATTGAGGTCTATGGAGGATCTCATGAGACTGGGGGATCCTACATAGACAAAGCCAACTCCCTGCAGACATCGGGACTGACACTGTAGCTCCGCCCAGAGTCTAGGAAAGTCAGGCAGAGCAAATATACTGAGACAAATATATACAGTCTCTGTATATCTCTTGACTGGGTTGAAATTGCAATGAAATTCCAACACAGTCAGAATTAGTGTTTTATAAAGATTCTATCTTCTATTTTCAAAGTGGAGGAGGTGATGGTGCCGCTTTAATTGGAAGGTGACCAAATTTTTTACTTCTTAAACATATAAATAGATAAATGAAAGATATGCATCTTTGAATTTTCTGCATTTGAGCAAAGCCCTATGATTTCCAGTTCCTTTTGTGAGCTCTACACATACACCTGTTAGTCAACCTTTCACCACCCACACTCCATCACTTATGTAACTTATTTCTTCCCATCCCAACTTGTGTATGTCTCTTTCAGTCTGTTTACTATGGCTTCTGTAAAGTGACCAGATTTCTTCTCTGTGTACCTCATTGGCTGTGTAGCCTTGTCACATATTTTGGTGTGCACCAACAGTTCTGTGTGTGGTAACATAAGGTCATAACAGCAGCTACTCTAGCAGATGTCCACTTGGCCACACTACATGAAGAAAGGAGAGGCATCAAGCAGTTGTCTGTGGGTCCCTCTATGCTTTGGGGGATTTCAAGTGCAAATTAAATAGTTGGGAAAATGATCTGATTTCCCCATACGGCTCATGACTGAACTCCATAGCCAGGGCCCAATTGTACTAGTACCAATGAGCGAATCCTCTTCTTGGCTGGGCTCTTTTTGGGAAGACAAAAAGAGTGGTTGTGGCAAAGATTGATAAATGAAAATAATCAAATACCTTAGTAATAGATACGTGGAAAGAATATAGCCATATTAATGGATATGCTGTTTCCCAACAACACATTTAGGAATTTGCATACAGTAAGTTCAGGCAGTTCCTCAAATCCAAATATATATACAATATTAGATATTACTGGGTCTATGCATTGTGACCCTAGCATGTGCCTACAGCCCTCCAATCTTCAAGGCCCCTAAACATAGGCAGTTAATACATTTAGGGGAGGTCGTTTGAGCAGGGTCCTCATCTACCTATTGTTCCTGCGTAATTGTAAATTCCCCCCCACATAATATTCTAAAGTGCCGCGGCGCTATATAAATAAAAATAATATTAATAATAATAGTTGCTCTCCTATTGACATCTGTGGGAACATTGCTTTTGTGTTACAATAGATATTATAGATATATTGTATTAATCTATTTATCTATTTATTGTTTGATTAATTTTTTTAAGCACCTTTTTTCACTTGTTTATTATTGTTTGGTTTTTTTACAATAGATATTACCATTTTCTTATAATAGAATCTATCCTTTAGTGAAGCTAAAAAAATATTATGCTAATTTGTGTGTCAGCTATATGGCTCAAGTGCAGTGACCCTCAGGTCCGTAATGTTAATGGTTGTTACTGGTGCAAATTTAGCACATGTGAGTTACTGGTTCCAACCTTTACTGGGATCTTGTCTCATTTAGGACAGTTTAGCAGCAAATCAAATTACCTAATTGTTAAAATGTAAATACATCAAGCTATTTCACATGTAGCATTTCACATGTATATCCATCCGTAATACCATCAACATTATTTGTTCAGAATGTGATATTTCATTTCTGTTGTTGGAAATGAGGTTTATGGAATATGCACTCTGGTCTCATCTAAAACAATTATAGGAACAGAATCAGCTATGGAATCCCAGTCACTTTAGCATTCTCATAAAGCATTATACATTAACGTATACGTATTACTCAAATGATAATGCTTACAAAATGTAAAGACTAAAATATATACTTACCCGAACTTGCTACTTTGCCAGTGGTACTAATTGAAATCTGGGGTCCGCAACATTTTCCCGCATGTGGGCCAGATACCATATCTGTAAATGGATGGCCACCTTCAGCTAAATAGCTGAAAAATAAGATAATAACAGTAGATGGCTTCCTAATTTGGTGTCCCTATATGGAATTGTCATATATAAGAACACTAAACTAGAGAGCTATCTACTAAACAGATAAAAAAAAAAAAAAAAACCTTCTCCTAATTTTGAGCTTTATGCACGTTAGAGGATAACTCCCTAATTTGGATTTGCAGGGAGAGCACAGTAAGTACATAACTACCTTGCCGCCTGAACCTCCCCAACAGATACTGTATACTTGTGCCGGTGGCTGGTGTGTCATAATAAAACTCCCCAAAGTGCAGGGCAGTTTTTGCATCACCCTCCTGGGACACTAAGGCTTGCACTGGTCCTGCTTGGACCGCATGCACATGATTTTATCACGTATATTTGCGGGCCGTACAATTGCAGGGGACAGGGTTAAAAGGCACATGGCCATAGGTCGCTGATCCCTGGTTTACATATTCAAGGTTGAATAAAATTGCTTCTCTGTGTATAGTAAAGATTTGGATAGCCCAAGGTCAAGATTACATTTTCTTTGCTTGACTGGTAAACGATAATAATAAAGAACGACAAGCGATCTTGATAGGTATATTTTCTCCATACATGGCAAGCTTGTATACTGAACTATTTTTAGCAGCTGTTTTTCTTGGAACTTTTCTTTCAACATAACTCATGAAAAAAATGGAATTTAGGAAAATTCCCACTGGAAAAGTAATCTTATAGACACACACACACACACACACACACACACAAAATATTACATTTATGTTAGGTAATATGTATATGGGATTGTGCACCTCATATATGTTTTATCATTTCTAGTAAATGCTAATACTTTAATTGCAGTTGAAGGATGCAAGATCTAGAGTCAGAGAGTGTTCTTAAAATGACTATCTAGTATCAAATAGACATGTGCATTAATTGCATGCCTATTTCAAACATAATGGGTATGTTTGACAACAAACTGATTAATTTTGCATTGATCACCTTTCAAATGATTTTTAAACTGATGGATCAGTATGAAAACAAATTGAAAGGTTTTGTATGCCGGACTAATCTATTCATTGTTAACCAGATCGATTTGTTTAAAGAAACACTATAATATCAGAAATACAAACATGTATTCCTGACACTATAGTCCTGATGTGGCAGGTGACCGGCACCGCTCCTAGGCGCCGAAGAGGAGATTTTACTCACCTTTCTCCCACATTGCACTAGTCTTGCCGTGGCTGGCTCCGCCTCTATGGCTGAGATTATCAATCTTAATGATCTTAGCCAATCCAATGTTTTTCCATAGGAAAGCATTGGGAAGCTATTGTGCATGCGCAGCAAAACGCCGTGCTGTGTCAATCAGCATCGCTTTATAGAGTCATAGAGATGTCCCTGCAATTCTTACATTGAAAAGCATGCAGCTATACTATACTATACACACTGGAACCTCTACATTAAGCTGAAGTAGTTCTGGTGATTATAGTGTGCCTTTAAGGAAGAGTGCAATGATTGCACATGTCTAATAACAAATACCTGCCTCCAGGTAAGTGCCATTTTCATGTAGGTCTGCTGTGACTGAAACGTGACTGAAAATAGTGGAGAACTGACAAAGCAATTGCACAATTTAAGCTAAAATATAAAATTTTTGAAAAAATCCACAAGTCAAATACTTTTACGCTCTGCAGTTTAGGCCTAAAACTTGCTGTTCCTCTCACCCTTTTTTCTCTGTCACTCTGGTCTTTACCCTTCTGTCACAGAGATACTGACAACAACAAGGATTAGCAGCTGTTAATACTCCCGGCTGGCTGAAAATTCCAGTGTGATGTCATCAAAATTTAGCTCTCAGGAGTCATTGCCTTTCCATTCAAAAACACTTTACCAACATTGCACAGAAGATTCTATCTATCTATCTATCATATTAGCCCAGTGATGCAGATGTAAAATTACAGATAAAATTAGTATCTTGTAATTCCTTTTTTAAGGGACTTACAGAATTTTGGAATTACAAGCTTTTGTTAGAACCTCCCTTTCTTTCTGTTTTTTTTTTAATATGAGAAAGGGAGGTTCTCCTGAAAGCTTGTGATGGGGGTTTCCATTGAACAAACAGCACACTTGTACCAGGATATTGAAGCTGATGTCATTACAATGAGAAGGTGCAACTGTTTAGAGCAGAGTGATCTTCTGTGATCATTTTAAAATGGCAGTGTTCATCGAGGGAACATGTGAATATATCTGTGGACATTTCTCATTTAAATACTGTGCCATTCCATTAACATTAAAGGAACCACACAACAGGAATTTCCACTGATAAAGGCTACCAACATAAAAGCGTCTAAAGCCTTATCCCGGCTGCCTACCTAAACATTAAATAAATATATTAAACATAAAAAGTGCAAGGAGTCATAGAATGCCCCAGAGCACGACTTAACACGATACTACAGCGTATCCACCTCTCACAAGTGATACTCTGGGATTCCCCCCCGTGAGCACTCCCCTATACCCTTATCCCTCTTTGTGCCCTCTCCGTTAACCCCTTAAGGACCAAACGTCTGGAATAAAAGGGAATCATGACATGTCACACGTCATGTGTCCTTAAGGGGTTAAAGGACCACTCTAGGCACCCAGACCACTTCAGCTTAATGAAGTGGTCTGGGTGCCAGGTCCTTCTAGGGTTAACCCATTTTTTTATAAACATAGCAGTTTCAGAGAAACTGCTATGTTTATGAATGGGTTAAGCCTTCCCTCTAATCCTCTAGTGGCTGTCTCATTGACAGCCACTAGAGGCGCTTGCGTGCTTCTCACTGTGATTTTCACAGTGAGAGCACGCCAGCGTCCATAGGAAAGCATTATGAATGCTTTCCTATGTGACCGGCTGAATGCGCGCGCAGCTCTTGCCGCGCGTGCGCATTCAGCCGACGGGGCGGATCGGAGGAGGAGAGGAGGCAGAGAACTCTCCGCCCAGCGCTGAAAAAAAGGTAAGTTTAACCCCTTTTCCCCTTTCCAGAGCTGGGCGGGAGGGGGACCCTGAGGGTGGGGGCACCCACAGGGCACTATAGTGCCAGGAAAACGAGTATGTTTTCTTGGCACTATAGTGGTCCTTTAGTTGAGGGACTTCTCGCTTTATCTCTATACTTACTTTTTCAT